ACTGGGTTTGACCTGGTCATGTCTAAAAGACGGGGGAAGAAAAGGGTGCGGTCTCCATTTTGTTTGTTTGGCTTATTTTCTCCACTACAATGGTTCACTTGAGTCTAGAGGCTGGGAAGTGAGAAGTGGCAAAGCTTTGTAACTTGAGCTGGGCTGTACCACAATTAAGCCAGAAAAAAATCAGCTGAGTTACCCAAGGAACATTAGGTAGGCAAGAACGGAGAGGCCCAAAGAAAGAATATAACCAGATGGTAACTAACTATAGTTTGTGGTATGATAACCACAGAGCCACACAATCACATCCTTTAGTCTAAGAGGAGCTGAATTACAATGTTTATTATTTTATTTTGATTTTCCAAAAATTCCTTTTACACAAAGCTTGTCGTTTCTTTTTCCAGGGCATATTTGCAGATAGTCATATATTTCCATAGTAGATGCTGGGGAAGGGGAGCATGTCACATTGTTATAAGGCAAACTCCGCCACTTACTGTATGTGCTTGCGGCTCTGAGATGCAGGTACGAAAGGGTGGAGTTTGCATCATGATGTCACCACGCTTGTAGCATTATTGTTGTTAGGAATGAACAACTTTGTGTATTTCTCTGTTAATATTTTTAAACTGGTAATTGAAGATGAGCCATTGAGTTTTGGAGAAACTAGTCAAATTGTCGCTGTCTAAAAGTTGAATTAAAAAAAACTGTGGAAAGAAAATTATTTCATATTGCAACTTTTAAAAATGCTCTGGGTAAAGCTTTCAGATCCTTGGATGTATATATAATCAAGAGAGCAACAATATTTTTTGATGAAATCTGAAAATATAAAACTTGATAAAATTTTAAATACAAGCAACCTTAAAAAACCCAAATAGAATGTTATCTGCAGTAGGAGTTTGTGATATGATGCTTTTGCTACTTGATCAGTTGCTATAAGCTTCGATTTATCTGTTCACTAGTCAGTTAGGGAGCACTGTGCTGGTAAATATGCTCTTGGTTTACCAGGCCCATGCCCTCTATGTCCTCCATCTAATGGAAGATGATTGCTTTGGCCACCAACATTAACAAGCAGGGATAATAGCCAGGAAGTGGGAACCTATGTTCATCCTTATTCACTGAAGTCACCGCCTAGTTCACTCTCTACTTTAGCTTAGCAAGAGGTATAAATCTAGCCATGAGTTTAGTGCAGAAGAGAGTACCTGCACCTCCCAGCACGCCATGGCTGTGCTGCCCAAATTCATCAGCGTGATTGGATTTTGGTGCACAATTTTGTGAGCTTTTATTTTTAACAAGTTCAGGGTGAGAATGTGAAAACAGGAAGACTCTGGGGGACCACATTACACCCATTTTACCCTTTGAGCCCACCAAAACGCCTGAATCTCCACACAATTTTATAGCTCACTGGGTTGCATAAGAAAATCATTAACCTTCTTTGCAGGGCAGTTGTGAGATTCATATTATTTCTGCATTTATTTAAAGATTTATGCCAGTGTCAATAAAGCTGATGAACTTCAACTTTTAAGTTTTGGCATGATACACCTCTGTGGCATGTTATGGTTTTTAAGTCATGGTAAAAAGCCCAGCGTAGCATTACATGTGAATTCAGACGTCATGTCATGAAGCTGTTCATCAGTTTAGGAGGAATCGGGAAGCTGTGATCTAAGGCAATTCCAGCTATAGAGGAAGTTCTTCCAGGCTCTATGCATTGGTGGATCTTTCTCACAGTCTTCCCACTTCTCTTAACTTTCATATGTTTCTTATTTGGCCTCTTTCATTCAGTCCAGAGTAACTGTAAATGTTGATATCAGACATGACGGGGAAGGACTCTGTCACAGAGAAACTAAATAATGCAATATCAGCCTACTTTTCCTTTAGTAGGATTGTATTTGTATTACAGTTTTATATGATGTGGGATTTTATGCATGTATGTATACTGTATGTGTAAATACATATTATGTCAGTTTATTACATTCCTCAAAAAAGCAGAGGGAAATGAGCTTAGCTTCACCTGTAAAACTGCATCAGTAAACATTTAATTCAAATTTCATTGTGGTTAGCTTTTCAAAAATCATCATCATCGTATTGCCTAGGCATTTAATCTGTTGTGAAGCTAATTTGTCCATATTTTAATCTAGAAAAGGTGGTTTATTTTATATATTGGTTGATACAGATGGCAAACAATGTAATAATCTAAGTAATTATTCAATTCAGCAAGTTTTAATTTTGGCTATCTGTATGCTTGAGATGTAATATTTAAGAACATAGAAAAGGCTTTCTTCTTCCCACAAAATCTTCAGATCCTAACAGCAAAATTGAAGACCAGTGCAACAAATGGATTCTTTAGCTGGGTGTCTAGAAGTATCTATATCTCAATATAAGTAAGATGAAATAATATTTCAGCTGGACTCAAATTCTGATGATTTCATGAACATATCCATTAAATGTTATTAGAACAATACACAAGGATTTGCCACTGCAAGATCGTTTTACTCTCCATCATAACCTTCAGCCATGTAAGTACTAATCAGAGTTATCACCTTTTCCTTAGTTTTACAGACACACATCTTTTTACTTTAACAATTAGTTAATCCACACATTTTTTCCCATTCATTTTATGTTCCAAGTCACAACCTTCCAGATATTTGTCTGGAAGACAAATGGGCCTGTAGATATTGTGCTTCATTGACTGTTGTGGCTTTGGTCAACTGAGGCTATCAAATAATGCTTTTGAGTAAGACAGAGAAAGATTAAACCATGTTACCAGATATGTCTATGCCCATCTCACACGCAGCCTTCCCTACTAAATAGCTTCAGCATATTACAGTCATTAGGCCAGAAGTGCAACCTCATCCCAGTTTTACCCCAAGGATGCTCATGTTATTTTATTCAAGGTAGGATCTAGAGACTACCTAAAATGGCAACATAGTGTTGCCTGCATTCCACCAAGTGGTAGATGCAATGAATTGACGCACATTCAGGATTCAGTAGAGGATCAATTTATTTTTTAAAAGCCATCTTATTTTATATGCAATTAGTTTTAATCAGTAATCCCTAATTTAATTGATATTCTTTTCCTGGCCTTGTCATTATTATTATTTTTTGGAATGTGACTTCTCGCAAAGCAACGGAAACCCCGCCTCCTGCGCTCGCCAGCTGGGCTCTGCCCTAGGAAGGAGGC